CCCCCCAGGACTCCCGGGGCTCAGGCTGGAGAGGGGGCAACCCCCGCCATGCTTGGCCCTCCTGTCCCTGGCTGGTGTCCCTGGCATGTGCCTGCGTGCTGTGCTGTTGGCCGCCCCTCTCGTGGGGACCACCCCCACCAGCTCAGTGCCCTCCAGCCAGGCCTGACCGCATCACAGCGTCCCTTGCAGGACAGCGGCCGGACTCCCCTCCTCTGCCTTCTGCTCCCAGCTCTCAGCCCAGGAACCTACAGCCTTGCTGCCCACCCCTGCCCCGGCTTCCTGACACCTGGACACACAGGACATCTCTGCCCCCGACCGGGCGGGGAGACCCAGGCCCTCAGGTTGTGCTCCCGGGGCTCGCTGTGCAGCCTCGGGCAGTGCCCAGCCCTCTCTGGGCCTGCTTCCCCATCACTGAGAGGGGAGACGCTGACCAGGTCGGTGAGGCCGAGTCCCACCCTCCTGTTCTCAGAGGGCAGCGCCCTGGCTGAGGGCACCGTGGGTGAGGACAGGCTCAGCGCCGGCACGGGAGCTCGGGAGTCTGCTCTTGTCACCCTCGCGGCGGCGGCGGCACCCTGGCCGTCCCCAGGGCCCAGTTGCCAGGCTGCCAGGCGGCTGGGGGGTGGAGGGAGGGAGCTGGCCGCTGGCCCTGGGGAGGGACCTTGAGCCTCAGGCCGCACTGCGGCTTCTTCTCTCCAACTGGACACGCCGAGGCCTGCAGCTCTCCAGGGCTCTGTCCCCAGTGCCAGTCCCAGGGGGCGGCGACCCAGCCCTCAGCTCTGAGCTCGTGAGGGGGTCTCAGAACTCCCAGCACCTTCCGCTCACTGACACCCCTCCCCCCACACACTATGCTCTGAACCAAGGACCAGAGAGGGCGGCTCCACACTCCAAGACACACAGCAGAGCCTGGGAGAGGCCAGGAGCCCGAGGGGTCAGGCCAGGAAGTGGCAGGAGGGGCAAGCACAGTCCGGGTCTGGAGTGGATTCGGGACCGTGGGAGCCCCAGGAGGAACGGCATCAGTGAAGGAGGCTCTGGGCCCAAAGGGAAGGTCGGTGCGCTGCCGGGCGGGCACCCCGAGGGA